GCCGGAGCTGTCCCCCCGGGGCTGGGACCTGGCTCCCCGGTGCGGAGCTGCCGTCGGGGCAAACGTCGGGGGATGCTCTCCTCCCCGGAGTCGGGTCCAGCGGGTGTTGGGGTCGGTGCCCCGGAGCTGCTCCTCGCTCCGGATGGGCAGAGAACTCCTGTGCCCCCTTTGGGCTGGGCTCTGTGCTCCTCCCCTGCTCCCTAAAATGCCAATCCAGGGTGCTGCTGGAAGCTGGGGTGCTCTGTGCTGCCCACCTCTCTGTCCTGCTTTGGGGTCAGCAGCCACTAATCAATGATGATATTGATGCTTTGGTGTGAGTGGTTTGTGCTAAGTATATGATGGCCCTTCTGGCTGCTGTCCCCTGCCATGGCATGGCTGGGTATTGCTTGGAAAAGGGAATTGAGGACTGTGGACCAAAGGATGCTGCTCCTGAGCCCTGGTCACTTTGAAGGATAAGGTGTGGTGAGAGGCTGCATCCTCCTGCCAGCTCAGCTGGTGGGAGATGCAGGAGGACATGGGCATGGACCGTGGTGTGTATGACCATGTATGGTACCTGGCACGATACATAATTGGTCCCAGCAGCTTAGAACCAGTGCTGGGAGGGCTTGTGTAGCTGCACAGTCGAGCTGGGGATTGCTGGGGAAGTGTTGTGCTCTGTGGGTGTCCAGACATTTCCTCGGCTCCGGCTGCCGAGGGCTGGTGGGTTAAGTGCTGCCGCGGCAGACGGTGACAGATGCTGGTGGGATGATGGGGCAGGAAGGAGGCACTGCCTGTGGGATTAGCTAGGAGCAAGGCTGGCTGGGAGCACGAGGAGCACCACACTGCTGCAGGAGGAGGTTTGTGCCCATCTCAGGGTCATCTCACGGGGCTCCATGTTCCCCAAGTCCACATGGCCAGGAGGCTTGGAAGGGAGATGGTCCTTGGTTGGGCTCCAGGTGAACTTCTACTCAACTTTCTGGAGAGAGAAGCTCCAGGAGCTCCTGGCAAACCATCTGCTGCTCAGGCTGAGTGGTGCTGGAAGCCAAGGCTGCGTGGGAGCGGGCACGGCGTGTATCGGAGCAGCTCCACGTCCTGCCCACGCAGTGACAGCCTTGCCAGTGCTCAGTGCTGCTGGCAGCCCCGTGGCAGAGGGGTGGCTGTGTGGTCAGACCCCATCCTCACCAAGAGCTGGCCAGGAGCAGGTTGGACATCACCATGACCAGATGGATGCTGTGAGTCAGATGGTGCCAGTGAGGTTTTTATGTGCTTTAATAGCAAACTCTTTGTTGTCCTGTCCTTAGAGAGGGTCTAGTGAAAGGTATCCCTGCCCATGGCAATGGGGTAGCAGCTAGGTGGTCTTTGAGGTCCTTTCCAACCCAAACCATTCTGTGATCATGGCCTGGTGAAATCAAGGGGATGGGAGGCTGCAGGTGATGCTGCTGGCTGCACTGGTGAACAATCTCAGGGCCAGCTCCTGCACATCTCCAGCAGCAAAGGCCACAGCCAAGCATGTTCCCAGTGCCATAGTCACTGTCCTGCATGGACATCCATCAGCTGGGGGGATCAACTCTAGCATGGGAAAGAGGGGTATGGGATCAGGGTGGAGGAAGATCTTGGGAGCACCATCCTTCCCCATGCTTCGTGTGTAGGAGCTGTGTGTTCTCCCTCCCAGGGGCAGCCATGGGCAAGCACAACAGCAAATTGGCCCCAGAGATGCTGGATGACCTGGTGAGGAGCACAGAGTTCAGTGAGCAGGAGCTGAAGCAGTGGTACAAGGGTTTCCTCAAGGACTGTCCCACTGGCATCCTCAACCTGGAGGAGTTCCAGCAGCTCTACATCAAGGTGGGCTCCAGCTGGGGGGCTGGAGCATCCTGCTCCTGCTGGGCAAGGGTGCTGCTTCAGGGGCAGCCTCTGTGCCAAGCTCCCCCTCCTCGTTCCAATCTCTCTCTTCTCTCCTTCCTGCAGTTTTTCCCCTATGGAGATGCCTCCAAGTTTGCCCAGCACGCTTTCCGCACCTTTGACAAGAATGGGGATGGGACCATCGACTTCAGGGAGTTCATCTGTGCCCTGTCTGTCACCGCCAGGGGCACCTTCGAGCAGAAACTCAACTGGGCCTTTGAGATGTATGACCTGGATGGGGATGGGAAGATCACACGCTTGGAGATGCTGGAGATCATCGAGGTACCGGTGCTTAATATTCCACAGGGGTAGCTTGTAGCTTGCTTTTTCCAGGCTTGTCATGGATATTGGGCCCCTTTTGGCACCAAAAAAAGGAGTTTTCCCACCCAGAGCCTTCTTTGAAATGTACTTGATGAGCACCTGGTTGTAGCTATGCAGCAGCATAGAACTGGGTCCCAACAGAGCATTAATCCTGTCCCCTGCCTTATCCTGGGACATTCCCACTCTGGTACTTTGCTTCTCTTCTTTCTTCAGGCCATTTACAAGATGGTAGGGACTGTGATCATGATGAGGATGAACCAAGATGGGCTGACACCTCAGCAACGTGTAGACAAGATCTTCACAAAGATGGACAAGGACAAGGATGACCAGATCTCCCTGGAGGAGTTCAAGGAGGCTGCAAAGAGTGACCCCTCCATTGTCCTCCTCCTGCAGTGTGACATGCAGAAGTAGAGCCCTGGGGCTCAGTGCTGGACTGGCTGCAGCCAATCTCTGCTCCCTGTGATGGTTTCCATCCCCATTTTCTGCTGAGCCCCTCTGTGCCCGCTTGGCCCCAGGCATGAGCCATGCTCCATCCCTCCTGCTGCCCACCTGCCTCTGCTCTGGCTGTGTCCTGGGCAGCCCACATTCCATACTCTCCAAGGGTAGAGCCAGCTCTGGGTGTTGTCAGCTTGAGGTTACCCCCAATCAACCCTCTCCCACCCTGGAGCTGGACTCCCCTGCAGCCAGTGGTGAGTGT